CTTCCCCACTGTGCTCTAGCCCCTCTGCACATTCTTCCTCATGGCATGTAGACAGCATAGTGATGACTAAATAACAAACCACCTTTCTGCCTCCAAGTGAATCCAGTTTGTCCCCAGAGTGAAAGCTGAAGGGGTGAGCAATGGTTGGAGGATGAGACCCACACCAGGTCCCAGGTCCGCTGCCCGCCTGTTTGTCAGAGGGCATCTCTCATCTTCTCATAGGCGGGGACTTTGTGTGCATGCTCCTTTGGGGGAGAAAAGGCGTTCCATGAATGTGCAAGCTACTGTAATCTGAAGTTGGAATTTTTTTTAAAACCGCTGGTCCTGTAATGCAGGCAAAGCATAATGATCTTCACTTGCCCCCAGGACCGGAAGTAGAACTATACACTTAGGACACCTTTTTTTCTATTCCCCCAGCACCCGGCTGCCCCATGCACCTGTGCACCTGTGCACTGCCCCATGTGAAGGACCCCAGTTCCCTTTCACGAACACACGACTACAGTAATGTCCACATGAGCTTCCCTCCACGAGTCCCAGGCTCACCTCCATCACTGGGCCTGTGACTTCTACAAGTGTCTTCTCAACCGCTTCCTCTCTGCGAGGTTTAGGGAAAAAAACAAACCGAGTTAAATCAGGCAGTCTCGGGAGGGGAATGATCTCTAGGAAACAGCATTCTCAAGAGCTTTCGAGAACTTCATCATCGAAGAACAATGATGACTGAATCCAAATGAGAGAAATGCAAAGAGTGTGGAGAGAAACTGCTTGAGAGCCAGAGAGCCGGTGCATTGCAGGGCCCTTTGTCCACTCCTGGCCGCCAGCACCCCACTTGCTATCCAGAGGCAAGACTGGGCCCCCTTCTTTTCAAAGAATGGCCGATTCTGACCCCAGGGCACTCTCAGAGGCATTTGCTTGTCTGTCTCTCACACATCAAAAAGATGAGTTTACCAGCAGAAGAAATAAGAGGCAGGGGTCAGAATTCCCAGAGACATTCTTTCCTTCCTCGGAGAACTTTGGTTTCCCAGGGAGCAGCTTGTAAGCTTCTTGTTAATGGCAAGGCCCAGAATCAAAGTCTAATTTCCTCTTTCTGTATATTTATCAGTCCGGTGTTTTTGCCATTCTCCCACCACTTCTGTTTTCTGTCAGTGTACAACAAACCACTCCCAATATTCCCGTCCTGTGCCAGCAAGATCAAGGGATCCACATCGTGCTTTGTGTACTAGAGTCCCCAGTTCATTCCCAGGCACCGCCTGATCCCATGAGCACTGTTAGGAGGAAGTAACCCCTGGGCACCACCAGGGATGGCTGCCCCCCAAAAGAAAACTTATGTTTCCCTGGCTTCTGGCCAGGCATCTGGGCAAGGCTCGGCTGAGTGCCTCTTCTGTGCTCTGTGTTGATTGGGTGAGTCCCTTACATCAGCTGCATCAGACTGCAAGGGCCAGAAACAAGTCAGAAACTATTTAGACCCTCAGCACTGTCCTTTGGGCCTCTTTCCCCCCACCCCCACCCCCGCCCTATGCTCTCTCCCCCCTATTTCTTTCTTTCTTTCTTTCTTTCTTTCTTTCTTTCTTTCTTTCTTTTCTCTTTTTTTATAGTATTCCAGCCTGAATTTCTGGACAGTCTGATAACTCTTCCTCTCTAGTGAAAAACAAAGTCAGAAGGACTCTTTTTTTTTTCTTTCCTTCTTTGGTTTTTGGTTTGTGGGCCACACCCTACAATGCTCAGTTATCTTGGCTGTACACGCAGGAATTACTCCTGGCGGTGCTCGGGAGACCGTATGTGAGGCCAGGGATCGAACCCAGGTCAGCTGCATCGAGGCAAGTGCGCTGCCTGCTGTATCCCCAGCCCTGTCAGGACTCTACAGCTTGCCTCACAGTAGCACAGTTGGACTTGTCCTGCATTATCTAAGTCAGGACAGGTGCCAGGAGTGTAGGAACAGGCACTGCCCATTAGAGAGTGGGGCAACTGGTGTGCTGGGGAGGGAGGAAGCCAGCATGGGCCCCTCTGGAGAATCCCAGCGAGCAGAGTTAGCAGAGAGGTTGCCTTCTTCCTCGAACTCCCTCCCCTCCCGATAGAACAGGGAAACTCAAGCCTCTGCAGAGGTGAGGGGTGTGCAGGGGGCACAGTGAAGAGTTCACAAGGACCACCGCCCACCACAGACCCGGGACATTCTGTGACTGAGCGGTTTGTGGAGGGCTCATCTTTCTCTGCCTGCGGAATGTGGAAAATCAATGGACAGTGCCTGTCCCAACCCACGGTGCACATTTCACCATGATTTGTTCCCAGTTATTACTATATCTGAATTCTGTGTCAAGCATTCAACCCATATTCCTCAAGCTCCTTCTTCAGACACACACACACACACACACACACAAACAAAAACACTTTTCTTGCCACACATGTGTATATGTGTATTGTTGGAAAGAAGTACATAAATAAGCTTTCCTCAGTTCAGTTTTGTCTGTAATATCACAGTAGTCCTTTTTTTAGAAAAAGCCTCTGTCTTCCTCATTATTTTGGTTTTGGTTTTGTTTGGGTTTTTTGTTTTTGTTTTTGTTTTTGTTTTTGTTTTGCTTTGGGTCACATCTGGCTATGCTCAGGACTCACCTGCTCTGTGCTGGGGGGGGGGGGGGGAGGGAGGTCACTCCTGGAGCTATCCAGGGCATCATTATTGGTGCAAGAGATGTGGACCAGGGTTAGCTGGATGTAAGCCAAACACTGTACCCCCCTATTATTCTCTGGCCCCTCTTCCCTCCTGAACAGAGAATGCTTGTGTGGAGAAGCAAGCCTATCGGAGAAGAATATCCACTTTCTAGCATGTACCAGTTGGGACAACTTCCTTTCTTTGTGTCCTAGCTAACTTGCTTTAAAATAGTCTGCAAGAGAAAGCTCATTCTCTTTTGGTGAGAAAAACTCACAGCATCGTCTCAGTTTTATTGGGAACACGTTTGCATGAAATATTTGTCCCTAAATGAAAAATAGACTTTGGGGCACAGTGTGGGGGTGGGTGGGGGAGGAGTGTGCCTTGCCTGTACAGAGTTCCATCTAAGTCAACTCCCTGCCACTCAGGAGGACTGGTCAGTGGTTGAAAATTACAAGTGTGTGAGGAGCAAAGGATAGATATATGGACCCCATCTCTGAGCCCAGACAGCAAAGTTCCCTTTGCCTGTTTCAGCTCTAATGTGGGCTGACAGTACTATGGGCTGCAAGGGATGACAAGAGTGTTGGGTAACGAATGACTTACCAGATGAATAACTTTGCCTAGCGTCTGGCATATTTTAAAGACCTAATAAACACTGATTTTGTTTTTGACTTGCAGTCAGTATCTTCCAGAGTGGGGGAGACCTCCCCGGGGGGGGGGGCGGCAAAGCAGTGCAGGTGATCAGTAAGGACCCTTTGGTCCACTCTCTCTGCTTGCCTAAAGAATGGGGGGGTGTGGCATTGGGTGATTTTCACTGCAAAGGAGGAGTAAGGTCAAGTCGGATGGGAATCTCGGCTTTCCTTTATTAATAGGATTCCAGAAAGTTAGTCCCAGCTATTATATATGCATACCAAAAAATGACTCCCACTTTTTTGTATGAATATATAATGAATATGAAATATCCCAAGGATATTCACCATGTATTCAATGGCACCAGGCACACACAGTCCAAATAAATTCCGTATCTCTGAGGTAACAGATACAACTTGTGATGTGAATAAACAGAAAATTAATATGACTTTTCATATGACCTCTTGGGAGATTCTTTAACAAGAGCATATTGAATAATTGGGAAAAGTAGTGACAAATTAGTCAAAAGTGACTGATTATGATTTGGGCTTATTTGTTGGTTTGGGGCTACACGAGCAGTGCATAGAGGCTGTTCCCAGTGCGTCAGTCGGGGATAGCTCCTGAAGTGCTTGGGACCCGCCCAGTGCCAGGGATTGAGTCTGGGTCTTCACGTGCAAGGAGAGAGTCCAGCATCACAACGATAGTTGGAAATTTTCATTCTGGACAAGAACTGATATATATATATATATATATATATATATATATATATATATATATGATAGCTTTTCAGTGTCTTTAGCATCAGTATTGCAAATCACAGTTCCCAAAATAAAGGGGGGGGGGTAGAGGGGAAGGAGGGTGGGCAGGCAAGCGAGCAAGAGAGGAGAGGTGTGCCTGCCATAGAGGTAAGTTGGGGTGGGGAGAAGGTGGACGGAAGGTGGGAGGGAACCTGGGGACACTGGTGCTGGGAAACTACACAAGTGGAGGGAAGGAGGGAGGGAGCGAGGGAGGGAGGGAAGGAGAGAGGAATGGAGGGAGGGAGGGAGGGAGGAAGGAAGGAAGGAAGGAAGGAAGGAAGGAAGGAAGGAAGGAAGGGTGGGTCTGAGATTGTCTTTTACCAGCTAGATGACTACTCAGCCTATAAATTTTAATTTTTCCTAGAAATGTCAAACAAATACAATGCTTTAAGAATATCAGGAGGGGAAATCAAAGTCTTTTATATGATCATGAGAGACAAAATTTTTCCAAGGGTGTTGGGAAGCCTGACATTTGAAGAGACAATCATCATCTTATCTACATAAATGGAACTCTTTAGTTTCCCGAATGTGTAAGCAGTAAATCCTACTGTTTATTGTGCCGACTACCTTGGGAGGGTGGTCCATGGAAGTCCAACATGCCCTACCAATGTGTGTGGCTCCTCATGCGTCAAAGATTCTTCACATGGCTTTGTAACGCAAGGTCGCGTGGGTCAGCTGCACTCCTGACACAAAGGAAGCCTTCACTTAGGGGAACTGCAGGTGCCTCCAGTTTACTCTCCCTCTCATTTCGCGAGTACTTTCAGATAGGAGTTTGCTTTCGTTTATTTGCTATTACTTTTGGGTTGTTTGTTGTTTTTCTAGAAATGAAAAGACACGTAGCTCTTTACACTTTCTGTAAAGGACTTTAGGGCTTGATTAAATATGAATTTATTTTAATTTCCATGTTTCTCCCCCCTACCACCCCTTTCTTCTAGGAAGAGGAACTAGAAGCCCAAATTTCCTTCCTTCAAGGACAGTTAAATGACTTGGACGCCATGTGCAAATACTGCGCGAAGGTGATGGATACACATCTCGGTGAGTGGGCGCCTCTGGCCCTGGGCAGAGTGAGGCTTTGATCAGGCCTTCCCACAAGGCGCCACCTCCAAATTTTTCTAGCAATAATCTCAGCTCATTTTCCCAGCGGTATGACCCAGGTTCTCTTCCTTTCCTCATCCCTTACACAGAGAAGGAAACAGAAGGAATGAATCAAATCTCCCGAAGTGAGGTCACTCACCGATAGATTGGAAATACAAGAGAGAGCATTCAGACAGGAGTTCTTTTTTGTTTTGTTTATTTTGAGGCCTTCCCCCAGCAGTGCTCAAGGCTTTCTCCCAGCTCTGTGCTCAGGGCTCACTCTTGGTGGGCTCTGGAGACCAGATAGGATGGTGGGATCGAACTCAGGTTGGCCACATGCAAGGCAAGCGCCCTACCTGCTGTACTAGCTCTCTGGCTCTCTAAATGGAGTTTTCAAATCGCCTTTGCCACCTCGCCCTTTGGAGACGCCTTCCACAAACCAAAATACCATGTGGCGCTTTCTAGACCAAATCGTCAGTTCGATTCCTGTGGCAGCCAGTCAGTGTGGTCACTTTAAAAAAAGATTGTTTCTTTAACCACTTGTGTGAGAGATACAGGCCAGGACTTCCTTTCTGACTGTGTTTGGAGTCTATCAAATCATGAGTCCTCCTGTGCCAGAGTAGCAAATTTTTAGGTACCGTCTTGTCTAGAAGAGTGCAGGCTCTGTATTTTGGCATCAGAAGTGACCTCAGCGGCACATGGACCTCTTGCCTCAGTAACCCGATGCTGCTTGCACAAACATTTGGAATGAGAAGATTACTGTTTTGTAGTCGTAAAGCCGGATGAATGTCCTTTAGTCCCCACTCTCCACTGTCTTAGCTTCGATAGTTTGGAGACTCAGATAATAAGGCGTGTGTTCTATTGGGAAGGGCTGCATGCTGCCTGCCATGTGTTGGGAAATGTGGGAAAGCCAAGGTAAGGCATCCCACCTGTGAGAGAAGCAGCATGAGCTCACCCAGGTTCCCTTCTACTGGCAGGACCCCATGAACCACCCGCCTTCGGGGCTTTTACTGAAGGTGGCCTCATCTCCAAAAATGTCTCAGCTGAAGTCACATGTCTCCCGAGCATGTCACCCAGAAGGCTATTATTTGGTGATCGTCTAAATATGTCTGACCTCTAGCAAATAATTCATGTCCTCTAAAAATATTAGAGTGGAGCGATAGCATAGCGGGTAGGGCGTTTGCCTTGCACGCAGCCAACATGGCTGACCCGGGTTCGATTCCTCAGCCCCTCTTGGAGAGCCCAGCAAGCTACCGAGAGTATCTCACCTGCCTGGCAAAGCCTGGCAAGGTACCCATGATGTATTCGATATGCCAAACACAGTAACAAGTGTCACTATGGAGATATTACTGGGCCCTTTCGAGCAAATTGATGAACAATGGGAGGACAGTGACAGTGACTCCAGCAGGTAGGGAGCTTGCCTGGCACGCAGCTGACCTGGGTTCAATCCCTGGTACCCCATATGGTCCTCCAAGGCCTCCAGGAGAGATCCCTGAGTGAAGAGCTAGAAGTAAACCCTTAGCGTAGCCAGTATGACCCAAACCCTCCCCCATAAAAAGTTTTTTTTTTTTACTTTCTAAAAAAACTGAAGAGGGGCAGGAGAGAAAGCTTAAAGGACTAATGCCCATATTCTGCCTGGGTGGAGCCCAAGCACGGGGGGGGGGGGGGGGGGGGGGGAGGGGGGTGGTGACTTCCAACCCATGCGATGCCTCTGAGCACTGTCAATTGGTTCCTGTCACCAAGCAGCTGGTTTGAGCCCTGTTCTCTCGTGGGGCTAATTTCTCCTCTCATGGCATTTACTCCTTCAGAAATGGGACACGAGAGGAAGAAACAGAGATACAAAGAGAAGCTGCGTGATGAGTAAATGGACAGGTAGCTCTGTCACATGTAATTCCTCCGCCATAGGAAACAGTTTGTTTATATGCTTCTTTATGATCATTTCAATTTACACAAATCTTGCAGCATCACCTTAAAGAATACATAAGGGGGCCACAAGGATAGTATAGCAGGTAGGGCGCTTGCCTTGAATTGCAGCCAACCTGGGTTTGATCCCTATCTGACAAGGTGCCCAGGAGTAAGCCCTGAGTATCACCAGGTGTGGCCCCAAAACCACAACAAAATTGAACAGAATACATCAAAAAGAATAGTTTACATATGAATAATGTAAATTATAGGATCAACTTCATTTAAACATCATTTTAAGGTGCGTGCCCATCATGTGGGTTTTTTTGATGTTTTTGTTGATTTTTTTGCTTTTCTGGCAAAATAAGTGACCTTTGCATTCTGATATTGACCAAAGTAGAACCCCCCCCAAAAAAAATGACTGAAGAAAAGATGAACTTGGGATTCTAGAAAATCTTGTTTGGAAATTTCCAAGTTGTTTTGTCCACACAGCAGTTTTTAAAGCAGCTTTACTGTACCTCAGAATCATCCTGTAGCATTTACTTTTATTTTGGTCTTTCACTCAGCACCAAAAGAGCAGTTCTTGTTGCTTAGGAGGGGAAGTACTTGAAAACACAGCCCCTAGCAGCTGGGAGTTTTCCACTGCAAAAGTATTGTGTGTGTGTGTGTGTGTGTGTGTGTGTGTGTGTCTTTCACTTTTACACTTGAAGCCAGGAAGTCTTCGCTCTTCTTGTAATTCTGCACTTCTCTTTTATTTAATTTTTTTGTTTTGGGGACCACACCCAGCTGTGCTTAGGACTTACTCCTGACTCTGCACTCAGGGATCATTCCTGCCAGGGCTTGGAGGACCACAGGGGGACAATATGTGGTGGCCTGGATGGAGTCACCTGGTGCAAGGCAAGCATGATCACTGCAGTACTGTTTCTTGGGCTCCTGAACTTCTTTTTACCACATCAGTAGTGGCATTGTGTTTTCAAGGGGCGTGGGGATAGGGGAAGAGAGGTTGAAGGATATTGGAAGAATTTCTGGCCCCAGAGCCTGCGAATTGATTTTCATTTTTTCTGCATAGTATAGCAGTGGTTTGTTTCAGGGCATTCCCCTACTTTATGGGCGACTTTAATTTTAAACAAAACCCTGAGAAAAATGAAAAGATCAAAGTGAAATTCTTGACTTGCATTTTGACTTGTACTTACTTCCTTTAAAAAATTCCTTTCATGCCCTAGTGGTTTTTTTCAGATGGTGTTTTCTGTTGCTCCTAATTAAAATAGTACAAAATGGTAACAGCCAAAAATAACCATTCATAAGCGATGGATCACAATACAGAAACACAATCTTTGTAAGGATTAAAATACTTTTCGTGATTTTTCCAAGGAGCTGTTCACGGTGTATTATTATTAAATGGGGAAAGGCGGGTGACACAATAGTACATAGTTGATGTGAGAAGAACCTTAAGCAGGGGTCTTCAGGGTGAAAATCAGGTTGTAGTGGAACTTGCCCATGGGATATCATCTTCTTACTTCGCCTTGCATGCAGGCTGTCCCCAGAGCAAGAGTACAGCCCCCACAAACACCAGATACTCAAACCCCACTCTGGACACCTGCTCTCTAACACCAAGTTTATTGCCAAGAAACCATATTATTGTTGTTGTTGTTGTTGTTGTTGCTATTTATTGCTTTTGGGTTGGTGAAGGTGCAGATCTGCAAGCATTGTGCTCAGAGGGCCCAGGGAGCACTAGGCCAGCCTCACCAGGCAGCTCAGTGTTCCTGCTCCTGCCACGTGGTGTTCCTGGAGCCACAGTGCTGGGCTACACCTCACCATGTTTGTGAGTTCAAAGCCAAGAGCCACCTCCAGGCCAACCAAAGGCAACAGGCAAACAAAGGAAGGAAGCGCAGTTAGTGGGGGTATACATAGGTGGGGTTGAACTGAACAGTATCATAACAATAAACAGATGTAAAGCCACTCCTTCAGGGGAAGTTCTTCTTGGGGATTAACTCAGGGACCAAATCTCATCTGAGGGCTCAGCACTGTAGATTACTTGGAGATCCACTCAAGGGCGGAATTCCATCTAAGGGTGTGTTGCTTTCTCCTTTCCTTCCTAGTAAGCCATTGATGTCTAGTCATTTTGTATGAACACAATAAGAATTATATTAAGCTTAAAGGTTGGCTCTGCCTGGGTACATCTTGCTGTATATCCCAGACTACAGTCCTCAGGCCAGGTTACTCTTTCCTAACCCCAGCAGGGTCCTTATTCAGTTACTTGTTTTCGGGTCATGACAGTTTGTTCCCTGACTGTGCTATACTTCTTATACTACTTAGCTTGTCCCCTTTTTATGCCAGGGTACCTTATAGCTTACCCTGGATCCATCCAAGTCTCTCGCCAGAACCTTCCTTTTGGGGGTGTTAGGAAGTAAAGGCAATGAAGGCTTAGGCTAAGTAATGATGGATACCCAGGAGTAAATATTATTCAGAGTCAGTTAACTCCCATGTTACAAAAGCATAGAGCATCAACTGTCTTCCTGTGTCTATACAAAAAGCAAAAAGGCCATTGCTAAACCATGCGATGGACATAAAGGAAAGAGAAAAGCAGTATAGGATTATTAGTGCCTGATGGAATTGGGTGTGCTTCGTGAGCACTGTGGTGGAAGTAACTCAATAACCTAAGCTCTCTGCAGGAGGAACAAGGACAAACTGGTGCTATCCAACAGTGTTCAGGGGGACATGCAGCACTAGGATTCAAACTCAGCCCCCGTCCCCACTCTTGCACACTGACCCCCCATGCTCCATCCCTGGCTCTCAGCAAAGGTGTCTAAAGCCCGCACAGACACACTCAGTATGAGAGGGGTCAGTGAGTCCAAACCCTCGCCTTTTCCCACTTCACTCTGAACTGGGTTCTCAGGGCAGATCCTGAGTCCCAGCCAGCCTGTGAGGGAGTTGTGGGCGGCACCATGGCCAGTTCCAAGGGGGACAGCTGGTACCAGTTGCCTTGAGGCGGAATATTCTTCTGTCCAGCGATGCAGGAAAGACTCAGAGATGTCGGTTCCTTAGATGAGTGTTGAGTT